GGGGCCGGAAGGCCGGCGCGGTGGAGGAGGGGGCCGTGAGGGCGGGAGTGGAGGGCGCGCAGGGCCGACGCGCAGGTGTTTCCCCCGCAGACGCGCAGCATGAGTCCTGCCGTCGCGCGCAGGGCCCTCCTGGGTGGGCTCTGCCTGGCGTTGTACTGCCTGTGCCAAGCCGATAAGTCCTGGAGGTGAGTTCAGTCTTGAAACAAAGTTGGGAAGCGCGTGTGTGCGCAGCCTACGAGGGTCCCTCGGGAACTGGGGTCAGGCTGAGGGGGCCGGCCGAGCACACCCCGGGGTGACCTCTGGGAAGGGGGTGGGGTGGGGTAGACCACGCCCTGGGGTGACCCCCAGGAAAGGGGGTGGGGCTGAGCCCTCCTGTGGTGACCCCAGGGAAGGGTGGTGGGTGGAGAATTGAGCACCCTGGGGTGACCCCTGGGAAGGGGGATGGGTAGGGCCAAGCACAGGGCCTTGTGGAGGCTCCCAGCCTGGGAGGGTCCCGCAGGCACCAGGCCCTGTGACACAGGGCCCTGCGCCAGACCTCCTTCTGGAGGTTGTGGAGGGAGCACTTACTTTCTGATTTTCTGCAGTGTTTGGTGACATGACCGTGCTTCCTCTTTTTAAGCTTTTGTATCCCCTCGCCCACCCCTCCCTGCCCACTCTTTTTTCCTTCCCGTGCAGCTGCCCAGTCAGGTCATTAGGGATCAGTAGACTGTGACCTGTGGAGGATCCCAGTGCTTGAGTGCCACATTTTAATGTCATTCTTCTATTTGGGTAATGATGCGGTTAGCAGAAGGATTTCATACATATATATGGGTGTGGAAAATGCAGGTCTTACTTTTTTTTAAATTTTAAATTTTAATTTTTTTTTTGAGTCAGAGTCTCACTCTGTTGCCCAGACTGGAAGGCAGTGGCACACTCACAGCTCACTGTACCCTCTAACTCCTGGGCTTAGGCAGTCTTCTGCCTCAGCCTCCCAAGTAGTTGGACTACAGGCATGTGCCACCATGCCCAACTAAGTTTTTGATTTTTTTTGTAGAAATGAGGTCTGGCCATGTTGCCTAGGCTGGTCTCAAACTCCTGGTCTCAAGTGATCCTCCAACCTTGGCCTTGCAAAGTGCTGAGATTACAGGCATGAGCCACCTTGCCTGGCCTGGCTTTTACTTTTTAATTAAGCCCCTTTGCTGCTTTATTATATACTTTAAAAGGTAGCATTACATTTCAGTGTTCCCAGAAAGTGTGTTTTCTGAAAAAGAGTTATGATCATTTACTAATTTATTGGCCATAAGGTTCCAAGTCTGTCCCTGTGGAGGTCGTGTGGGATCTTAGGCTTGCTGAGCTGCAGTTTGCTCCTCTGTGCGGTAGGAATGTAACAGCACCTGCCTAATAGAGGTGGCATCGGGAGAAGTCAGTTAAGGCACAGATGTGCTTGGAATGAGCCTGGTCTTTACAAATCAACGGGTGTTATATGGGGTTCCTCCATAAGCAGGCTGGTTTGGAGGACACAGACCAGCGGGCACCTTCCTGTGTCTGATTGGGTTTGAGCATTGGGAGATTGTTCTTTCTTCCCCTGCTTAGTGGCTCTTCCCCTTCAGCTTCTCCGTTGTCTTCCCCATGGGGAGGGGAGTGGGAAGGTGGACGATTCTCTTACCTATTGCCTAAGGTAGGTGGAGACTTTTTGCTACAGACGTTCTGCGCCTTGATGGTTTTATTGGAAGCATACTGAGCATTTAGTCTTCCTGGACATTGCTTGACCTTCCAGTCTCAGTTTCCACCTACATAAAATGAGGTTTTTGTACCCGGTGGGGAAAAAGCCTCTAACATTTCTACCAGCTCTGATTCTCACACTGCAGTTCATCTTTTTTTATTTTATACCAAGAGCTTGCATCACTTGTTCAGGCTTACAACTAAGTTTCATAGCATCTTAATTGTGAATTCTAGCCCCAATCAGCAGTGCTCAATTCTTTACAGAAACAATGTATAACCACTTGATCTATTCTACTGGGATTCTTCCTGTCTAGCATTTAATTTATCCTGAATTAAGTGGCAGCTTGAGGTATATTCCTGTGTTGCTGCTGGCCTTTTCCATCTAGAGTGTTTTGAGCAGCTCCTTCTCGTTCAGTCTCTTTGTATGCTGAGCTTTGTAGCTGGGGCCCTGCTGGCAAGGTCCGAGTGTGGGTAAGCTCCAGCTCCACAGGTCCCTCCTGAGGTCCCAGAGTTAGGTGATGTCACAGTTTCATATTTGTGATACAGTGCAGTGTGCATGTTGTGATACAGTATGGCATGCATATGTGTTCTAGATAACATGGTGCAGTGTGACACACATTTCATGTTCTAGATAGCATGTAAGATCTGGTGTGGCATGTATACTGTGTCCTAGACGATGTGTGGTATAGCGTGACACCCGTGTCATGTAATAGGTAGCATGTGTGATGCAGTATGGTGCACAGTCTGTTCTAGATGACGTGATACAATGTGGCATGCATATTGTGTTCTAGATAATGTGTCATGCAGGGTAACACTCATGTTCTAGATAGCATATGTGATACAGTATGGTGACATATACGTGTTCTAGATAATATATGGTGCGCATGACACCCACGTTATGTTCTAGATAGCATGTATGATACAGTGTGGCATGCATACCATGTTCTAGATAACCTGTATGATACAGTGTGGCATGCATAACGTGTTCTAGATAATGTGTAGTGCAGCACAGCACTCATACCACTAGAGAACAGTCCTAGTGGTATCTGAAGTAGTCTCCAAGATCAAACGACATGAATTGTGTCTAAACCGGAGTGGAGTCATGACAATAAATATCCTTGTGCTGGCTCAGGCCTGTCTTTTTACCAGATGAGTTCCAGAAGAAGGTCCAGTGTTCAGGGCCCTGTGATTTCATGACTGCAGCTGGGGACCACGGTCTGTCTTCTGTTGGGCGTCCTCAGGAAAAAGACGCGTCACAGCTCAGGTCCCTTTAGCGCTTCCTCACTGGCTGAACCCTCCCTTCTCCCACTCTGAGCTGTGTTTATTTTCTTTGCCACTTGACACTGTGACAGCGTGACAGCATGTGTGTGTTCTTAGCTGTGTTCATCGCTGCCTGGTGGAGTGTGCCCCTCAGGAGGGCAGGGACTTGTCTGCATGGCAGTGCTTCTAGCCCCATTGCACTTGCTGCTGACAGATGCATTTTTTCTGTAACTTTAAAAGAGCTCTTAAAAAATAAGTTCCTTGTCTTTTAACAGTGGCAAACACGAGTGGAAAAAACTGATTATGGTTCAGCACTGGCCTGAGACGGTGTGCGAGGTGAGTGTATGCCTGGCTTGCCCCTTAAGCTGGGAGCCCAGGAGAGGGGTGTGCATGCATGTGTGCCTGCCTTGGGTGTACCCTCTGTGCCTGCCAACTGTGCCCTGCAGGAGACCTTCCCAGGAGGGCTGCATATGAGCTTCCAGGGCTGCTGTCCCCAAGTCCCACAGCCTGGGTGGCTGAGAGCATCAGACACTCATTCTCATGGCCCTGGAGGCTAGAAGTCTGAAATCAAGGGTCAGAAGGGTCAGTTCCTTCTGGGGGTCCCCGTGGGGGGTTTGTTCCGTTTCCCTTCTAGCTTCTAGGAGACCAGGGTCCTTGGTGTCCTGGGCTGATGGGTGTGTCAGTTTCCACCTCCCTCCTCACATGTGTTCCCTGCTTTGTGTCTCTGACTCTTCTGATAAGGACACCAGTGATTGGATTTAGAGCCTGCCCTGGTCCAGTATGACATTGTCTTAACTTGATGACATCTACAAACACCATATTTCTAAATAAGGTCGCGTTCACAGGTGTAGGATTATGACATGGTTCTGTCTTTGCAGGGGCCGTGATTCAGCCTACCATGGGCTTCTCTCCTCCCTCCGTGAGGTCTTGTTGAAATGTCTCATGAGTGGGAAGGAGCTGAGATGTGCCCTGCCCTCTCCTTGGCTCTGCCAGGCATGACTGACACCCTTTTCCCCTCTAGGCTGGCCTCTCCACGCCTATGGCTCTCGCTCTGTGTCCTGGGTCCTCTGAGGGTGTTGGTGCCCAGGCTCTTATCACAGGAGTGTGGCCCTGGACTGCCTTTGCCTGTCCCACTTGGTCTATGAAGCTGACCCTGGAATTCCTGGCACAGTTACCCCAAAGTGTTCCATCTTGGTGCTACCTTGCCTGGACTTTGGCTTTACTGACAGTGCCTGAAGTTTGGGCTTGAGAAAGTCACCTTGAGGCCTGTAATTCCGACGAGGTAGGGTAGCCAGTAATTGCTGCTGGGCTGCTCATTCCACATTCTGGGCACTGGGCATGGATGGCATTCTGTTCTTCTTCCTCATTGATTTATTTTTCTGTTGACAAAGGAAAATGAAATTTTATTTGCCCTCACCAAGTCATGTACTTGCTCTGGAAACTCACTTCTGACACACGAGACTGCTGTGTTCTCAGTTTCACAAGTGAGAGTGTTGCCTCCCCCTAACTGGTGTACTGTTTGCCTAGATGGTGGCGCGGGCAGGAGTGAGCGCAGCAGGATGCTGCCTGGCTCCAGGTTTGAGTTGCTGGCATCTAGGGTACTCCAGAGACTGGGAGGAATCAGGCTGATTGGTTCCTGCAGCTGTGGGTAGAGGGAGAGCTCGAAACTTAAGTGCGTCCTTCCCATGGCCAGCACCAGGGAGTCTGCCTTCAAGACTGAGACCAGGATGCTCTGAGGGGTCAGGGAGGGGTTGACATGACAAGACGTGGGTGTGTCCCATGCACTGAGTGTCAGTATTCACTTTCTGAAGCGCTTCCCTGCCTTGGTGAAACTTTAGAAATGAGGTTTAAAAAATCAGGCTGGGTGTGATAGCTCATGCCTATAAAGCCAGCACTTTGGGAGGCCAAGGTGAGAGGACTGCCTCTGAGCCCATGGGTTTGAGACCAGTTTGGGGAACTTGATGAGACCTCATCTCTACAATAAACCAAAAAATTAGCCGGATGTGGCGGCATGCACCTGTAGTTCCAGCTACTTGGAAAGCTGAGGTAGAAGGATCGCCTGAGCCTAGCAGGTCAAGGTTGTAGTGGCTATGAGTGTGCCACTGCACTTTAGCCTGGGCAGCAAAGTGAGACTCCAACTCAAGAAAAAAATCAGCTGGACACAGTGATTCATGCCTATAATCCCGGCACTTTGAGAGACTGAGGTTAGAGGATTGTTTGCGCCTAGGATTTTGAGATCAGCCTATGCAACATAGCAAAACTTAGTCTCCACAATAATAAAAAAGTTAGCCTGGTGTGGTGGTGCATACCTGTACCACCTCCAGCTACTCAGGATGCTGAGGTAGGAGGATTGCCTGTACCCAGGAGGTTGAGGCTCTGATGAGCCATGATCATGCCACTGCACTCCAACCTGGGTGACGGAGTAAGACACCAACTCAAAAAACAAATAAATAAATAAAAATAAAAAAACCAGTGACTCACAAAATGTCATTGTTGGGGATGTATTTCAAACCAGATGGCCTTGGTGGGGATATTCTGTTCCAGGTAGGAGTCCTAGCAACCAGGGCTGTGTTAGGCACCTTCCTCTGATGAGATGTGCACCTCACAGGTGTCCTGGGCCCTGGCACAGTCCCTTGGAGGCACCTTTAGGAGCTCAGGTGGCCCTGAGAGGTGTGTGCAGAGACTGGACAACCCAGTGGTACTGACGTTGCTCTCATCAGCTGAGCGCCCACAGAAAGGAGCCCACTGTGGACTGCATTTCCTGGGAGTGGAGTTGGGGGTCGGTGGAGTGGTGTTCCATCCTCTGTCACTCCCATCCTACCTTTGCCTCCACTGTTCTATAGTGGGCGCTTGTCACTGCACCTCCCTCCTTTCCAGACCAACCAAGAGCTGAAGCTGCTGCCCCATGGAGGGGTCTCAGGAAGGGGGCAGACAGGGGGGTGGGGGGGGCAGGTGAGGGAGGGGGTGCAAGGGGTGAGGGCGTATCTGCTGGTCCAAGGTTCCAACTCTACCTCCTGCTCCTTCCCTGGGGGCTGGGATTGTTTGACCCTCGCAGATAGTCTACATGAATTTTTAGATGACTATTTATTGTAGAAAAACTCAATTTGAGCTAAAGAGTTTAGGCGTCCCTAAAAAGCATCCTACTGAGATTTTTATCTCTTGAGTTTGTATTACTGAGATGAAGAATACACTTCTTCTCTTCCTTTGTTATTTTTCTGGCTCTAAATTTTCAGTACTCATTACTTCACCGATGAATTTAGACTGGGTTCCTGAACAGGCTTGAGTTTAGCAGGGTGGTGTCAGCCTTTTGTTCTTATTTTGGATTATATGGTTAGTGGGATGACCCATGGGCAAAGAAGAGTGTTTTTCTTTTTCTTTTGAGTTGGAGTCTCACTCTATCACTCAGGCTGGAGTGCAGTGGCACGCTCCCGGCCACCGCAGCCTCGACCTGCTGGGCTCTGGCGATCCTTCTGCCTCAGCCTTCCAAGCAGCCGGAGCTACAGGTGCACGCTACCATGCCCGGCTAGTTTTTGCTTTATCGTAGAGACGAGGTCTCACCAAGTTGCCTGGGTGGGTCTCGAACCCACGGGCTCAGGCAATCCACTCGCCTTGGCCTCCGAAAGTGCTGGGATTATAGACTGAGCCACCGAACCTGGCCAAGAAGAGTGTTTTCATCAGGCCGAGCCCAGCACTTTGGGAGCCGAGGTGGGAGTATTACTTGAGTTTAGGATTTTGAGCCTGGTCAACCTAGCGAGACCTCGTCTTTACAAAAAATAAAATAACTAGCCAGGCAAGGTGGTACTTGACTGGAGTCCCAGCTACTTGGGAGGCTGAGGTGGAAGGATCCCCTGGGCCCAGAGGTCGAGGCTGCAGTGGCTGTGAGTGTGCCGTTGCACTCCTGCCTGGGCAACACAGACCCTGACTGAAAAACAACGTCAAGAAGGTTTCATCAGATTGACTTAATTGACGAGCACAGAAAAAGGGCACAAATAGCTATTGATTTCCGTTACCTAAATTGTTTGAGGATTGGTGTGCAGCAGCCAGCTCCAGTGTGGTTCCCTGATCAATACACTGCTAGAAGGAAGTGATTGCATACTGCCAGTGATTGTCCTCGTGTGAGCATTGTGCCTGTGTCCTGTGGATGTATGTTGAAAGAAGCAGAGCTGCAAGATGCATTTTGTAAATAATGAGCCAAGCATTTTCCTTGTGTCTTTTCTCCTTAGGATGTTCAGAACAACTGCAGAGACCCTCCAGATTACTGGACGATCCATGGATTATGGCGAGTATTTGATGCAGTCAAAAGAAACCAGCTACCTGGATGTTCTAACCCAAGTCTGGTCTTAATATTTATTCTTAATGTTTTTGTGAGGAGTTCATTCAATAGCCCAGATCCTTATTTAAAAGTATCTTTAAAAAAAAAAAAAAAACTAGCTGGGCTTGGTGGTGCATGCTTGTAATTCCAGCTACTTGGAAGGCTGAGGCGGAAGAGTCATGGGAGCCCAGCAGGTCGAGGCAGTGGTAGCTGTGAGCATGTCACTGCACTCCAGCCTGGGTGACAGAGTGAGACTTCAACTCAAAAAAAAAAAAAGATTATTTTTAGTCTTTCTGACGTAACTCATTACTTTGTTGATTAGTTCTGTTTTGATATAGTAGTAATCATTTATTTTCGTATGTGTTTAGGGTTTCTGGGCACATTTTAGGATCACTAGAATTCTCTGATTTTGTTCTTTTCTGATTTATTATAAATGAATATATAAAAATAAGCAATGTGTGTATTTATATAGCACATACTTCACAGACATCCAAGTTCATTTTTCTGGTTTGTCTGCATCCTGTTGGGTTGATTCTTATTTAATGTGCACATACTTGTGATGTTAAACTGTGCACATTAATTTGCCCCATCAAAGGGATTAGTTTTGCCCCGTGTGCCGATGAGCAGTGGGCCATTTTGGGTTTAACTGGCACACACTTGATCTGTAGGAACTGGGGCTGGTAGAAGGCGAGTTAAACTGGGACCTGGGTGTTTGGCTTCTGGTTTTGCTTTCTCCAAGGCCTGTGGGGTGACCTTAAACTTCTGTCCCTGGGACCCTTGGCTTTTCTGGACTTTGTGTGATGCCGTCCCCTCTGCCACCTTGAGATGCAGTGGTTGTGTCTCTGCCCATCAGGGCTGCTTCATTTCTGAGGCTAAAATGAAAATTTAGAATGCTTTTTTTTTGAGTTGGAGTCTCACTCTGGTCGCCCAGACAGGAGTACAATGGCATGCTCCTGGACACCACAACCTTGACCTGCTGGGCTCTGGTGATCCTTCCGCCTTAACCTTCCAAGTAGCCAGAACTACAGGCACATGCTACCACACCCGGGTAATTTTTGATTTATTGTAGAGATGAGGTTTCGCCAAGTTGCCTGTGTGGGTCTCGAACCCACGGGCTCAGGCAATCCACTTGCCTCGTTTTCCCATAGTGCTGGGATTACTGGCTGAGCCACTGAGCCTGGCCTTTTTTTTTTTTTAATTAAGAAGGCTCATTTTAATATGTGTATGTTTTTTTTGTTTTTTTTTTTGAGTTGGAGTCTCACTCTGTCACCCAGACTGGAGTGCATTGGCCGTTCTCGGCCACCGCAGCCTCGACCTGCTGGGCTCTGGCAATCCTTCTGCCTCAGCCTTCTGAGTAGCTGGAATTACAGGCATGCGCTACCATGCCCGGCTGATTTTTTGATTTATTGTAGAGATGAGGTCTCACTGCCCAGGTGGGTCTCAAACCCGTGGGCTCAGGCAATCCACTCACCTCAGCCTCCCAAAGGCGCGGGATTACAGGCTGAGCCACCGAGCTCTTTATACTGCATTATAAAATACAGACAAGGAGACATTTACATTGCATTGCTGTAAATCACAGATGCAAAATAATGTTTTTCCCCCTCAAGTATAAGGACATATTTTTTAATAATAGTAAATTTACTTATTTTTAAATGATAAATATAATTGGCTCTATTTGCTACATATAACACATTGTTTTGAAATATGTATACATTGTGGAATGGCTAAATTGAGCTAATTAACATATACATTACCTCACTTACTATTTTTTTCTTTTTTAGGTGAGAATGTTTACAACCTAGTCTCACCAATTTTCAAGAGTGCAATACATTGCTATTAACTATAGCCAATTTGTTGTACAATACATTTATTGAACTCATTGCTCCTGTGTAACTCCAATTTTGCATCCCTTGACCAACATATTTTCAACACCCTATCTGCATCCCCTGGTCATCACCATTCCACCGTCTACTTATATATGTTCAACTGTTTTAGATTCCACCTGTAAGTGAGATACTAAGGTATCTGGCTTTCTAGGCCTGGCTTATTAGAATGCTCCTTTCTCCTCCCCAGTGGGTGGAGTTGTGCTGGCTTCATATTGTGGTACTAGTCACTGACCCTGGAGACACGCTGTCGTCCCTGGCCTCTGTGGGATTCTCAGGTGGTTGGGGTCTTGGAAGTAGGCTGGTGACCCTGTGAACGAAGCAGCACTAAAGAGTGAGAGCTAATGTGTCCAGAATAAGACATGAGGTTCAAAAGTAGGGAGTGTAATCTTGTTTGATCCTAGATAAAAATAAAAGTCATACTAGCTGACCATCTGTCGCATGCCAGGCGCTTTCTGAGCATGTCAGTTGCATATGTCTTATCATTTCCTGCAATCCTCTATGCCATGGAAGGAGATACAGCCTCCTGCTGCTCTGTGGGGTGAGCCTTGGCCAGTGGTTAGATGACTAGGAGCAGGTGCTAGGGAGCAGGGGTGGTTGTTCCAGTCCCAGCCAAGGCTGGCCCAGAGCTCCCTCTCCTGGACTATTGAATATTCTTCCTCTAATACAAAACCAGCTTGATGCTTTTAACGCATTTTCTTTCCTCTTCAAAAGAAATTTACCAGGCTCGGTGGCTCAGCCTGTAATCCCGCGCCTTGGGAACCTGAGGTGAGTGGATTGCCTGAGCCCTCGGGTTCGAGAACCGCCTGGGCAACTTGGTGGGACCTCATCTCTACAATAAATCAAAACATTAGCTGGGCGTGGTAGTGCATGCCTGTTGTTCCAGCTACTTGGAAGGCTGAGGCAGAAGGATCGCCAGAGCCCAGCAGGT